AAAAAAAAACCCCCCCCCACAAATATCTTCTATATATATTTATATACATTCTAATATATATATATATATATATATATGTATACGTACGTATATATCTTCACTTCTTTCCCCAGCTAGCTATCTTTTAAAAGCATCCAAAATCTTCCCATAAAGTGAAAGAATTGAATATCAACTTTTTAAGTTGAACAAGACGTGTCACTGCTTTTATTTGTTCTATTACATGTGGAAAGAGACACTTCGCTCTTTCCCACTCCCCATTATACCCTCATTTATTGGATCTTCATCTTTTTGTTTATAATTCAGAGAAATATTACCAAACTCCAAAGCATCTGTGCACCAAAGTACTACTGTGTGGATTCTCCAACATGCACCTCAATATAATGTTATCATTAATAACCAAAAAATACTCACCCTTTTATCTTCTGTTTGGATTTTTGTTTTTTCAACCACATGTTCATATAAAGTGTATTTAAATATTGTAACATACATATATAGAGAATTGATCCTTTCAATCTGGTCTCCTCTCTAAAACACAGAATTACATTTTCTTGAATGAAAGTTTTCTTTTTTACTTTTTTTTCCCTCCTTATCTCCAAAAATTAATAAGGATATTATTGTCGTTTAGAATTTCTTGGTGGGAAAAAACCGATTCATTACTTCAACAAAATGCGTCTAGTACTAAGTAACTACAAGTATCAGTACAGTACATTTATAGTACTCTTAGTATGTACGAGTCTTAGAATGGTGCTACAATTAATATGATATTATATATAAAAGAGAATATATAGCAAGGGAAAGCTGATATTCTCACTGACACAATAACACATATAAGTAGATATTATATAAATATAAATACATATACATATACATGTACACACACATACACACATTAGTTGATCATGGTCATTTCAAAACCTAATAAAGTTATTTATATATATATCTATGTACATATTATAGGTGATCCTGGTCATTTCAAAACCTAAAGTTGATTCTTGTCCTCGCATTCTATGTTTCCTTTTTATTCCCTTCAGAAACAACGATGAACCTGCCAGTTTCCATATTGATGTTTTAACTTTTTTTCATGCACGTCCCATGAAGGGAAAAGGTAGCATGCACGTTACTCTCTCTCTCTCTCTCTCTCTCTCTCTCTCTCACTCACTCACTTAGAAAGAGGTAGATAAGCACATCTTTATCTATATTAATACAGCAGAAAAAAGCTCGAATCTGGAATAGAATAAAGCAATAAAGATTAAAGAAGGCTCTCAACTCTCATGTAACAAATAAAAAATAAATTAGAGTCTGACTGAAAAAAATATGATTTCTAGTTTACTACGATAAGATTCCATATTTTGCAATAAGAAACAATTATTTAACTGAGAAGTGGTGAGTGAAGCTATATATCCCACTTCCACACTTCCTTTTAGTGATTTTCTAGTTTCCTTTTCGGCTGAATTTTCTAATGATTATATATGAAAGCCACTTCCAAAAATCATGATATATGTCAAAGCATGATTTTGAAGTTTAAGCTTAAACAAAAAAGACCGACTAACTTCTATTTGGCAGTACCAACTCACGTGTGACTTTTCATGAAGTGGCACTGTTTTTATTTGTGTGTGTGTGTGTACACACAAGCATATGTATATATGTATATATATATATATATATATATATATGATTAATATGAACTAAAAGGCATAAAATAATTGGCCAAGGGCCTTTTATTTTGGGCGACTAAATTAACTAGAAAACAGTTGCTAAGGTACCCTCGGAACTAAAGTTTTTCTCTTAACACAATCTAAAGTGAATTTCCTTTTCATATAGTTATTAGAGAACATAAAGAGCATGGAACACAATCTGTAACGGAGCTCCTCAGTTGAGCCAGAAAGTTCTTCCCATTTGTCTAGAAATAAAGATGTGTAGATTTCTTCAAAAGAAAAATAAAAAAGATATATAATTTGTACAAGGATACAATTAATACATGCACATACTATACAAGTCGCTTGGAAGTATGTGTACTTGTTGTACTCATATTTGGTATATATACGTATGTACTAGGCATATTTAGTACTTGACAAATTAAATAGAAGCACTATTTTATTACATACGTATATGTTGGTACGGAATTTGAGTGCTACATAGGAACGTCCTACTAAGGAGGCAGTTTTAATATTTGTGAAAATACTTGTTAAATTAATGTAAAAAAAAAAAAAAAAAAATTATCCAATAGTTTAGAATTTGACTATAGAACAATCTAAAAAGGAAGAAGGGAGAGATAGAGAAAGCAAAATATGGGAGGATTAAAAATGAATTCAATAAACTAAATACCTTCTTGTAATTCAGTATAAGAAGACTAGATTTCTCTTATTATTTCATTTGAAGTGTTCGACAATGAAAATAGAGAAAGCAAAAGAACCTATATTAGAGAAAAAAAATTCAATAAACATTTTCATTTCTATAAAAAGAAATAATCATATATATGAACCCTAATTCATAACTGTAGTCAACAACAACAGAACAATTAAGAAGTATACATCTTGCAATTTTGCTCAAACTCTTTGGTATTTACTCTGTAAAGAACAACAAATAAAAAAGACATTATACAAACATCTTAAAAATAAAAAAGAATAAGAATATATAATATATTATATAAATATAGGCCAAATACAAAAGATATGTTACTGTAATCATAATGGTGATGATTTTCATGCAAAGGGATATGGGATAATTTTGCTTTGGGTCTTTGGTTCTCCGTTTTATTTTTTGTCAGAAGTATGAGCAGCCTTTTCTTTGCTTTCTTTTTTCTTTTCTTTTTCTTTTCTTTTCTTTTCTTTTTCTCTCTTTTCCCCTTTGTTTCTTTCTCTCTTTCCTTAATCCTTTCCTTTCCAACATGGATTACTGTTGCACAGTTAGTTTCAGTTAAGAGGCACACATATATTAGAGCTTACCCAAAGCAGGCCCCATAGAGAAAAGAAAGCAACGAAAAGAGCAAATTGTGGATGGACAAATTTCTTGGCCTCATGACGTTGAAAGGAACAGTTGAGGAAGAGAGAGAGAGAGAGAGATAGAGAGAGAAAGAGGCTTCAAGTACTAATGATGATGATAATGATGTTGTCTCTGAGTTTTTTTTTTGTTTTGTTTTTTTTAATATTGTTTTTCACTCCTACCCATGATGATCTGGGTTGTCAGGGTCAGGCCAGAAGGAAGAGTATTTCATCCAGTCTGCCTCTTGAGGGACGTTTGTGATGGATGACTCCTGCCAATGAATATTACCAAAAACCATCAAAAATTAGATAAGGACTAGGGTTTATGCAACTGTATATGAAGTTTTACAAGTTTACACCAAAAGCTACACAACATGAAAAAGAAAACTGCAGCCACAAATTTCTATTTTTATTTTCTATTTTTTTCTTGTGTTAATAGTACATGTTATAATTTATCTATTATCTTAATAGACTTTTGACCAATCATAAATTCACTTAAATTAATTAAACCAATGAATTATTAGACAATTACTTATGGAAAAGACACTAATATAATTCTTCTTTCTTTTTTTTTTTTTTCGTTGTCCCAAGCTTTTCCATTTTGTGTAATTTGCCTTCACTACTTAAAATGGTAAGAGAAACAAGTGTAACCCATCACCACTAATTAATTGTGAACTTTAAGTTTCATATTTTGTCTAAAAATCAAAAGGAAAAAACATAGCGCCTGAGCTGTTAAAGATTTTTCATTACTTTTTTCTTAAAGGAGAGAGAGAACCTACATACTTCACCACCTATAGGTCTTCAATTGTGGGCTTCTGGTTTCACATACTCTTTCTATCATGTATATACATTTTTGTTGTATCTGATATCGACATATGGGGAAAAAAATGTTTGGTCTACCCTCTAAAGAAAATATAAGTTGTTAATAAAGTGTACTTGCAAACGAATATGTTTTATGTTGTCAATATTCCCTTAAAAAAAAAAATTCGTCGACAATGTTGTCTTTCTGTTTAGGCGACAAAAAAATATTCTAGTCTAGATATGCTATAGCTGCAGATTTATCCTTTTTCGTTTCTTTTTTTTTCTTTTTCAGGAGGAAGATTGATATTCATATACCACAATTCAAAACCACCAAACATATTAAAATGTAAAGAGAAAAAGAGAAAAAGGAAAAAAGGCTTGGGGCTTCTATCTTTAATTTAAACTAATACTAATAAAGAATATTGGTTTTTTTTTTCTTTTTTTTTTATATCACCTTTCCCTTTTCCTTCCCCAGCTAGTTTATAACATGAAGGAATGAAATTCATTGAAATTAGAGGGGGAGAGAAAAAAAAGAAAACAAGTAATATTTCATAGATTTCAGGGTCAAAAAGTTGATACTCACTTCTTTGATATTAGAAGTACTTGAAGTGCATCCCATTATGAGTTCTTCTAAACCAGACGCTGACCTTCCCCCCAGCTTATGATGCTGTTGCTGCTGCTGTTGCTGTTGGTGCGCTTGTTGCTGTAAAATATTATATTTATTATATGCATTCAAAGTTGTAAAAAGATAAAATAAGTCAATGAAATCCAATGCTAATGATAATGTCTTCTACAAGTAATTAATAAAAAGTGAATGACAACTTCTTGTTTGCAAGTTAGCATGCAAACATTCAAAAGTAATCAATAATCATTATTTTAGAAACTTATCAATTTAGAATACTTGAAATATTATCGTTTTTATCGATTTCAACTTTCCCACATGAAGTAAATCCCGAGAAACGAAGAGGCAAGAAACGTACACATTAAATGGATAATGCCAGGGACGCTAACTCTAATCCCAACTTTCGTACCTGGAAATTCTCGTTTTGTAGCATGATTCTGGAGACGTGGTAGGCGTCCTGATCAAGAATAATGGAGGTGTGATGGAGAGGAGGAGGAGGGATAATGTTGGAAATGGGGTGGGATGGACGGCTGATGTGAAACGCAGACGTCGCGATCTGATGATGTATATGTTGTTGTTGTTGTTGTTGTTGTTGTTGATGGTGATGATGATGATGGTCTTGGGCCATATGGTGTGCCCTCTGCTGGTGATCCTCGCACGTGCCTGCTCCTCCCGGGGCTTCCCTTACTGTTGAAGCATCTCCTATTCCCACCTGCAATGTATATGGACAGTGATCAATTAGTATTAATTCGGACATCACATCCCCAATTAATGAAGAATTTTTCTATAACTATGTATTGTAATTAGCTTAGCTAGCTAGGCAGTCCATTTTCAACTGTTCCTCATCTTTCGCTTTTTTTTGTTTTTTTTCCCTAGTTCTTTCTCTTACACATTCTTTGGTCTTAAAATATCTATAAGTTGCAATATTGATATCAAGTCATTAGTATATGCCACTTTTTGGTGGGTAAACTGGGTTTTGAGTTAGATGACAATAGTAATATCAAGTAAGGTCCATGGAGTTTGTCATGCTTCATATGCAAGCAATGAAAAAAACAAAAAAACAAAAACAAAAACAAAAAACCCCTTTTGTGTATACTAGACTAGTATTATCAGAAGAGATTAGGACATATAGAAGTTTAGATTGCATCATGTATTATATGTAATGTAATAAAATATTACCTCGTCAAAGCTTTTTCTAAATGGAACAAAGCTGAAGTGATCAGATTTCAACTGAGGAATACTTTCTAAACCACTGTAAGCAGCAGTAGTAGCACTAGACATCTGAGCAGCAACTCCAACAGACAATTCATCTGATCTCTGAGGATTAATGTTTATCTCCTTAGAAGAACAACTCCCACTCCCACTATCTCTCCGGTCGCTATTTCCTAATTCTCCGGTAGTTATAGCCATCCCCGTCGTGGTGGTGGTGGTCAGACTCCGGTCGGACCAATTACATTGCCTAGGCTGCGTCTGGTAGAATATCTTTGAAACAACAAGCTCACCTTCTTTCTCCTCCTCATGTTGTCCAAGATGGTATTGGTGCATGACCCAGTTGGTCTTTTCGGGTTTTCGGTTCTTCCCAAAGTTGGTGTAGAGGACGAGGATTTTCTTGCAACCTTTTTGCTTTCCATTCACCATGACGGGCCTGGTCTTGCCCGTTTTGTGCCACCTAGTTTCCCCGCCTTGCAAGTCACATTCGGTTTGGATTTTTCTTCGCTTTCTTGTCCCGGTTGTATAAGCTTTTGAAGGTCTGTGGAAGAAATGCCTACTTAAACCATCTCTTGTCACTCCTGCCCAAGAAAAAATTATTCATCAAAGTTAGGTTTGACTTAGGTGCAACAAACTGCGAAACAATATATTGTGGTCATATTTATTCCTAAACGACATGAATATAGCATGCATGGCAATATATTCAAAGTGTAAAAAGAAGACAAAATAAATGGGATTTTCTTTTTCTTTTTCTTTTTAGCTTGAATGATATATATTGAATAAAACTATTGTTTTCATACATAGTCTACCATATGCATATAGATGGACGTATACAGGAGTAATTGAAGAATAATATTTGAGAAGATATTAGTGATCTAGAGAGAGGGCATGCATAATTATATTTATATATAATGAAATTAGAATAAATATATATGTATATATATATATGTATATGTATATGTATATGACCTGGAAGTTTCTCAGGATGGGTATAACAAATGCCATCTTCTCCTTCAATAGTAGGGATAAACTCATCTATCAAAGGATGAGACTTCATGTCTTTGTCTTCTACCTTTGCTTCCAGATGTTCGATCAGTTCTTGGTCTGTCGGGTCGAATTTCACTCCTGCTGGTAGACCTAACCAATTCTGCAATTATAGACTCCATTCAAAACCAATATATATATATATATATATATATATTTATATTCAAAAATAAAGCAAAAGAGGTGATAGAAAGAAAGCACAAGGAGAAAAAACAAAAATAAAAATAAAAAGAAAAGAAAAGAAGAAGAGGACCCTTTACTTAAAATTTAGAATATCATTTTGTTTAAATGAAAAATGATTAATTACAATAGAACAAAATATTAATGTTGTCTCATGAACTTCACACAGCTAATTATAATAGCAAAGTTCAAAAAATAAAATAAAATAAATCTACTTTCCAATATGTTTTGTTTTATTATATATGTTTCATTACCGGCTTTCCTTCAAGCTTGTGGCCACAACCGGGGCAGTGCTTGGATCCACACATCTGATGCTCTTCGAGCTTCGCATCGATGAGATCGGAGCTGCTGATTGACCCCAGATTACTCTTGTTCATTGCTAATTTTGTGATCACCGTAAATAAGAAGAAAAAGAAAGGAGCTAGAGATAATTATATATGTATATACTATCTTCTTTCTTTGAATCTAGAACTGATGATCATGAGCTCGTTTTTACAATAAGCCGCGGCAGCGCTCTCTACGAAATTATCATCTTCTTCCTCAGAAAAGTAGAGCTCGCTTTTCATAATATTCCCGGCAGCCAGTTTGCTAGTAGCTTCCGCTCCTTTTGCCCTCTATATAATATGATTAGTATACTGTTTGATAAGCGAAATAAGGGTTAGAGAAAGAAAAGAAAGAGATAATTACATAATGAAATAGTTTCATTTATATATATATATATATATATGTGTGTGTGTGTGTTTGTGTTAATATAGGATACAAAGACTACTTGAGAATTAAGACCACACAAGCAAGTATTCATATACAAGATTTTCGTTTGTGCTACTAGTATTACGAACATATCAACAAAGAAGTACAGCTTCAAAAAAAAAAAAGGAGAGAGAGGTAAGAAATAGAAGAAAAAGACAAGAATATAGTAAGAAACATACGAGTATCAATGAATAAAAGGACTAGCTAGTTTTGTAGCGTGTGAATTATATTGCTTTTCCAGGAGAAAATAAATCAAAACCAAGATGTTTGGCAAAAACCCAGATGAGAAAATCCGGAGAAGAAGAAGAAGAAGAAGAAGAAGAAGAGGAAAATAAAAGAAAGAAACTGTCACAGTGGAATTGAGATATAAACCTGCTTTAACCATGGAAAACACCAGAATCATTTCTCTCTCTAGACTCTAGTCTCTACTTTAACTGAAGCCAGTGAGAAAAAAAAAGGAAAAGGTGTTTGTTGCCCTCTCAAAACATATACTCTCTCTACAATAATATTATCATACCACCTTTAAGCCTTTGCTAATTTAAGAGGGGCATATAGTTGTTGTAGGCGGTTTGAGAGAGAGAGAGAGAGAGGGAGAGAGAGAGAGAGAGAGAGAGAGAGAAGAGGATAGAAACAAAACAAAAATAATAAGTTGAGGGGGGGTTTCTAAAGCTAAGCAATAGCTCATAAGGTAAGGCCTCTCCCACACCTTTGTGTTGAGCCTTGACTACTACAAAAGCAAAAGGGGAAGAAACGGCCTTCACAGCTGTTACTAAGAAGGCACACAACAACAGTACTCAAAAGCAGAGCTAAACCCCATCTTTGTTTATTTAATTAAAAATATATCATATCCATGTAAATAAATAAATACATAAAATTGTATCTAGTCATTGGTTAAAGTTTTATTTATTTATTTTTAAACTGGTGAAATTAATTAGTTCATGGGTTTTTTAAGACCAAAAGAAAAAAAAAAAACTGTTATTTTGTATAGACAGCAGTAAACTTTGAGTATTCAAGAAGAAATCAGGAAATTATGTTACAGTGGCATAGTTGAATTTTGCGTTAGAGATTTCAATTAGTATCAGGACTATTATACTAATAATAATAATGAAGCAAAGTTATTTTCAACAGGGAGAGAGAGAGAGGGGACGAACTTCAAGAGAGCTTGTGTAAAAATAGTAGTGATTAAAAAAAAAAAAAAAGAAGGATGATAAGAGCTCACATGGGTTTTGAGCTGGAGTGCTGATCATGATGCTTTTGCCATGAATGTTGCTGAAGAGAGAGAGAGAGAGAGAGAGAGGGGTATTAGAAGGTTGCTTGATATGCAAGGCAAAATGAGCAGTATACTTGATGGACCACCACCACCCCTTCTAATTAAAACTTCTACAAAATTACATGAAAAGGAGAAAAAAAAAATATCTACGAAACTTCAAGTAGAAGCGCCAAATAAATAATCTCTTGCGAAAAAGGAAAACGAGTAAAAAAATAAAACAAGGGGGAAAAACGACGATCATTTTACACGTACTATATATTTATCCCCCTTCTTTTTTATCTTTTTAGGCTCTGTGTTATTTTCTATAGAGAGGAACTCTAATGTACATGAGACTCGTACAAATTATATTGCGCGTATATGCAATAGAAATACCAAGTGTGTAGTGGAGTGGACCCACCATTAAGTGGACCCCAACTCTGAAATCTCCTGCTCTCAAAAGTGTCCTGATCTGATGATGGGCTAACCTTCACGTTTATAACATTCATATCCAGGCAGTCAAAAATAAAATGATGGATGGTCCAAAATGAAAAATGATGTTTGAAGAACATATATGTAGATGACCATGATTACTGCTCATTTGTCTGATATCCTTTATGTAAAAAAATAATAATTTAAAATGATAAATATAAAATTGAATTTTGTAAAAGTACCATTGGTCTAATAGCACTGACACTGAGGAATATATCCTAGGGATATATAGATACGTAGCTACACAAACACCATTCAACCTTTGATTAGTTTTCTCTTTTTGTCCCTTAAGAATCAGATCATTGCCCAGATTGGATTATCCAATGAGTTGACTTTTGACTAATGAATAGGGGAACCCACATATCTTAAACCACTGAATTTTATCTTGGCATGTTATATATATATATATATATATATACATGTTCAATCTATTATTATATATTATTTTGTACGTATTTTTATTTATTTATTATTTCCCCTTTTGTAAGGGATTAATGGATATGTACGTGTTAAGGAATATCATAAATTAAAAATAAATGAGAAGAGAAATTCTTTTATACGAAATATTCCAAAAACTTCCAAATGCAACTGGAGGGAACATCTTTATGAGGGGAAATACTCCTTTTTTTT